TCTTCATGTTTCATTATCCAGAATCCTCTCTATAAGTCTGCACCACAATAATGAGTAAGTCTGGCTTTTTGTGGCAGAATGTTTCCTTTTCCATTCTTTTCTGGGCAGACTTTGTCACGTCTCCCAGATAAAGATGATAAGTATCTTGTGTTCTTGCCTCCCTAACTGTTTTCTTGGCATATTTCTCCGACATGTTACAGCCTCTTGATTCTCTTCCCTTTCTAGCACAAAACAGGCAGACTCTCAAACACACTAACTGTGGTTTGAGTAAAACAAACAAAACTGGATTCATAATCAAGGGATAGAATAGGAGAAGCATTATTTTTGCCTCTTAGTCCTTGGCCTGATAAAGTCCAAACCTGTCTTGCTTAAAAATATGGGCCTGATTCTTTTTAATCCTTATTGCCTCAAAACTAACCCTGCTAGTTTGAACAGCATTCCTGTAAACCATGACAGCTGACCCCCTAGAACTGAATTTGTCTTTAATAGGGGAGTCGCTTGATTTAATTAACTAGATTCAGCTGAGTGTGCAAAGGAGATGAGTGTGCAAAGGAGAAAAAATCATTAATAGTGTGAGCAATTCTGCCCACCATTCCACTCAATTCTGCACAGTGAGCATGTGTCCTGAGGTGAATATGTTGGGGAGACGTCAATCTGACAGTTGGTCTCTGTTCCTAAACAGAGTCATCCTAGCATTTAAAGATTCATGTTTTTCATGCAATGTGGGCCCCAGTGCCTAGCAACTGTTTTTCCTATGGCTCATTTGGAGTTCATCTGATTTTCACCTTGCTGCCATAATTGAACACACTGTTCCTTTCGATAATAGTCTGATTTGCACAGATACTGCTTGCAGTTACTTTATTTTGACAAAGAAAAACAAGAACCAGGTGAAGCAGAGTTAAGTTTTTAAGGTTTTCACTCATTTGCTGGAACCTTGTTCCCCTCTCTAAGGAATCCAGTTGTTTTTATATCCTCTAAGTGAATTTCCCAGAAAAACAATTTGAGATCTAAATTACCAAAATGGTTAGGATGGTTCCTTCTTCCTGGCTCAACAAACGAGTGCTAATTTTGGAAGTCTCCTTGGTTTATTGCCATAATCATAGAGTATATGACGCACTGGGGAAATTGGGAGCAACCCCATCCATTAGGCAGACGTCACCCATCCATTAGGCAGACGTCATCTGGCCTGTGGCCTGACAGGAGCTAGTGCTATGTCTGTGAAGCTCACCCTTGGAGATGTCAGCTCTACATTACTATGATAAGACTGCTTATAGTAATGACTTTGTCTCACCGCATTGCTGCCTATTTAGGAGTGTTAAAACCAGATCAGATAACTCATTTTTCCTTCCCTCTGCCAGAAAATGCTTTTATTTTCAGAGATCCATCTCCAGAGACATTTTTTCTTACATTTTTCTTAAAATTGGGAAGGGCTAAAAAGGCAGATATTTCATTTTTATTTCAAGTTAATATAAAATTGTGGTCCACAATTTTAAGCTGCAGTAGACAATCCCAAACATCCAGGCCACCTTAGCTGTTCCACAAGGAGCCTTGTGGACCTCTGGGACCTCAGCATGAATTTGAAACCCACTATTGGGCTCAGAATAACCTTGATGGTCTTCAGGACCGAGTGGCTCTGTGGTTTTCTGGTTATCCCTAGAACAGCATCAGTGGTGGCAGGTAGAATGAGAAACCATGGAGTGGTTTAGAGCAACTTGAGTTTCATGAAAAGGGGAGTGGAGAATTTGTCTTACCAACTCCAAGCAACCATGTGCCATGAGATCACCAAGGCAATATTTAGGTGCCCCAGAATCTTAGAGCTTCAGATATCTTAGAACAGGTCTAGCCTTGCTATTATTTGAAGTTTCCACTAAAGGATAGTCTAATATGAAGCAAACTTAAAAGAATTTGAGCCATGAAAGTAGCACATTTAATACTTTTCTCTATATACCATTTGGATAGAGTAAAACATGAAACACTTAAATAGTTTTACCCCTTTGAATAATCAAACATAGCTTCTGAAAAACAATTAGTAATATTTTCTGTAATAGAAGATCCTCTTTAACACAGCATAATTTGAGAACTAAAATGCTTGGTTGAGTAATTTTTTAGTTAATTTGTAATATGTGCAGTGAAAAACGAATTTATAAATTCATTTCTTAGTGAAATATTTCCGAAAGCGACTAGCATAATGTTTGGGAAATAGCAAGCTTTAATCAATATTAGGTTTTTTTCTTTAAGTTTTCTCCATCTGGAAGGGCTATTTTATCTATGTAGCATAGCATTTGGCTTATGCATACATAGCACTAGGCAAAATCTCATTAGTCTTTTTAAAATTAGTCATTTAATTCCATTTTAGCTTTCTAGTATATCCACTTACTAAAAGCTGTGTATATCATATCGTGCTATATAAAATGGGCTTAAAGCAGTCATAAAGAATTCTCTGGTATTGCTTAAAACTGCCATACAAATTAATTGGTCGAATTGATTAACTATAAAGCTTGATCTACCAAATAATTTCCAAATAAGCCTTTTAACTTACCCTTTTATTTGAGTTTAGATGTGATCTGAGACCTAGCCTGGCCTACTCTCAGAAACTAGGTCTAGAAACCTAAAAGATTTCTTTCCATTCGTTCACTGCTTTTAACCTTTCTGAAGACATTCATATCTGTTAGTTCTTTTTTAGGAGTGTGGCTTATTCACTAAGAGCTTATCAAACCTCTTTAAAAATTAATATTCTCCAAAAATGATACCGAACCTTCAGTGTACTAAATTCTATCGTTCTTGTATATTTCTGATTTGATTGGGTTTTTTTGGTCCTTGAGATGCCTTTGGCTCCAGCTTTCCCCATGACTATTGTCATTGAAGCCATAGCCTTTCAGTGTTCATTTCTTTTCATACTCCTACTTCTTTACCTGAAACTCTGAGGCATTGTAGTTTGGATCACTCTTATTTTTTCAGCCTTTCGTTGGTCCACTCACCCATTTGTCATTCAGTTGGCAGGGTAGAGGGGTCCACACATTCTGCTTACTGGAGGCCTCATAGATGAAGGAGGGAGTTGGAGCCTTATCAACCTAGCAACTGCGTAAGTGTGCAGGGTTTCATGTACATCACATGGCACAATCCATCATGGTTTGAGTGTGGAAGAAGAATCAAGTGGTGATTGCATAGATGTCTTATTTCTCCCTTCTGGGCATTAGTGATGCCTGTTGGGCCCCAGATGTCCCATTTCTTATCATGGCCATCTGATCATCTGACTTCATCTTCAGGTGTTTATCTCTATCAGTTGATCTGTCCTCAGATCTTACTGCTGCCTATTCCGCTCTCCCACCTTGGTGCTCATCACCAAGGAAGAGCTTCCACGTCAGACCCAGCCCAGCCTTTAGAGGCTGCTCTGACAATAGTCAAAGAGGGCACACAGAGTGATATCTCAGGGACAGAAGTCTGGTTGAGAAACACCATCTCAGTAGGAGAGGAAGTTCATGAGATTGAGTGGTAGTCATACTCTCCTCAGAGGTTGCAAATTGGTAAGATACAGACTGTATTTGTCCCACAGATATGTTTTGTCTCTCTCACAGTTGTTTTTCAATGCCGTTATCAGTGCTTAAAAATTAGGGAATTTCACATGAAACCCAGAATTCCAACTTCTTATGAAAAAAATCAGATATTCAATGGGATGTGGGAGAAAGATGTCAAAGATAACTCTTACAGGTTTGGGGCCTACACAACTGGAATAAAGGAATTGCCATTTCCTGAGCTGGGAAAGACTGTGGGTGAATCAGGTTGGCAGGAGCAAGCATTGACCAGAGATGTATTGAATGTATTAAGTTTTGGTTGTGTTAAGTTTGAGGTGCATATTAAACATTCTAGTGAAAATGTGTAATAGGTTAGTAGATATAAGAGTTAGGAATT